CACCATGTTTAATTCTAGAACATTTTCTTCTTGCTTGTACTCATGGTTATTCATGTAATTATTTATGTTTCTAATTGTGGCAAACATATACACAACAAAGCATTCTCCAATTCCACAACTTCTACTGGTATACTTAGTGTTGTACAACCATTATTGATATCATTTTCGAAATTATTCTACCACCATTGACATAGACTCAGTGGCCCCTAAGCAACAACTCTTTCCCCGTCACCAATGGTAATCATTGGTCCAGTTTGCAGGGGGAGGGAGTTGGGTTTTATTTGTTTGTTTTTCAGTATTACAGTAGCTTTCTTGATACAGTATTCACGTATCATGCACTTCCATGGTTAAATCTCTTTTAAAATGTATTGTAGATGGGGGAGGGAGGGAATAAAATGGAGCTGATATCGAGAAACTCAAGAAAGAAAATGTTTTGAAACAATGTGGTAGCAATTGTACAATACTGCTTGATGTGATTGAACTATGGAATGTTATGATAGCTTTAAGAGCTCCCAATAAAATGATAATTTTTTTAAAAAGGAATAATGATGAAACTGTGAAACACCTCAGGGCATATATGGAAATGGAAGGCATTATGAGAAGTGAAGTACTTGAATCATAAAAGGAAAGATACTATATGAGACCACTATTATAAAAGAAAAAAATCAAAATTAAGTTTTTCATACCTCCCCCCAAATAATGAGTTGCATACACACCATAAACAATCAGTTCTAGTGCTCCCTCCCTCCTCCTCCATTCACTGTATATTTCCCAAATCCCCTTGCCTTCCCCATAAGCCATTGCATCAGTTATCTCTATACATCTACTCCTTCTGTGCTTCACAAACTGGGAAACGCAACAGAAACAACAAAAAACAAAAACAAAATGACAAGAAGAAAAAAATCATAATATGAAGATAAATGTATAAATAAAAAGTAAGAAAAGATCATCATCAATATTTGAAAAGCCAGGGAAGGAATTTTTGTCAGGGAACAAGCAAGAAATACTGGAGCCTAGAACAAATTCAGGTTGGGTCAAGAGGGAGGTCCACTGACCAAGTATCAAATTATACCCTGTTGGATCCACCATAAGCAAGTTTACAATAATCTCTGTCTGATAATAAAGATATTGAGCCCTTTGCCTGTGGCTAGAGGGAATCTGCCAATGGCTTAATCTAACTAGATACTCTTGAGATGGATTCTGGACTCCCACTGTCCTCTGTAGCCTTCTACAAATTGGGTGGTCACAATATCAGTTCTGATGCTTTTCCCGTTACCATTTTTGGACTTTGTTATGGAACTCTTTGGATCACACAGGCTGGTGTGCTTCTTCCATGTGGACCTAGACTCCTCACTTACATAAGCTCCTTGTTTGAATACAAGCCTTTAAGACCCCAGACACTATTACGATTGATAGCCAGGCACCATCAGCTTTCTTCACCAAACTTTGCTGCAGCATCCTTATCATCAGTCATCATTTCATGAAGGTGATTGTGGAGCAGGGCCATGTCATTAAGAAAGAACTGTTCAAAAAAAAAAAAAA